ATTTAATCACCCTCATTGGTTAACAACAAACAAAGCAATGAGAAAGTTTGAAGTCCTAAATATAGATCTGGAAAAGTAGACTGTACATTTAAATAAAACATCATAAACTCATCAATTGTGCCTTAATTTATGAAGATTTTTCAAAGAAATAACTGGGCTTAGTTCAAGTCAGTACTGAAATCTAGAAAACGGCACAGAATCGAACACAGAGGGAAAAAAAACATTGACGTTCTCTATTGACACCTTCTTAAAATAATCACCTGTCTACTTTTTCCCCAAGTTTTTCAGGAAATACATAAAACTTGACCAAAAGTGTAGATTTCTGACAAACTTGGAAAGAACAAGAAAATAAAGGCATGGTGATTCTTTAAGAAAGGTGTCAAAATATAGCGGAGAAACTCAGATTTCCTGATGCATTTTAGACCCAGCAGGACCTTCAGACAAAGGCTGGTCCATACTACAGAAGTCCCTACGTGAGGAATGTTCAGACCTCTATATTAAAAAAACTAAACAAGCTCTACAGACACATGGCTCAACACAGAGCAGCTCTAAACAAGACTTGGTTGTCCCACACCTCAAAGATAAATGACTCTTTTGAGGACTAAAGTTTTATTGTTTTGGACAGAAAGGACGGATGGTTTGAGAGAAGATTACAGAAAGCCATTTATAAAAAAGAACAAAAAAAATACTTCAAACAGGTTTTAGCTCAGATTTCACTTTTCTTAAACCTACAGTAAAGATTTAAGCTTGATACCAGCTTCCCTCTAATACACGTGACCAAAACATCTTTTGTGAACCAGGCAAACAAAAGCCTGATTGTCAAGTCTCATGCTGCGTTCCAGTTCTACTCTGAAGTCGAAATTTCGGACTTCCGAGTCGGAAATATCAACTAGAATTAATTAACGTCGTTATTTCGAGTCGGGAACTCGATGCAACCCGTGACCTCATTGTTTCAACATGGCTGCTCCTCGCATCAGCAGCGAGTGAAAGTCTTGACGATAAGATGCAGACAACAGGTTGTAACAGCATAACGTGTCAGCAAAAAGAGCCGACGTGACAGGTTGTAAAAGCAAATGAAAACTACTTAAAGAGGCAACGTATTCAACAACATGATCTAACAACATAACTATAGACAGAACAAAACGACGTTATGTGTCAACACAAGGTATAAGAACATGGACAAAGGCTCAACAACATATTTTCGGCACAAATGGAACTCCATAACTTTTACTGTTTGTCACAGCTTAGTCTTGTTTACATTAAGTCACTTGTATTTTACAGCGATTATTAGGAGATATGTTTGTAAAAATCAAAATGCCGTGTGCAGCATTATTGTTGTCATTATTGCATTATTCCGTCAGAGCAAGAAATAGAAACGCTTCTTTCTGACAAGCTGGAAACGACAGAGTGACTTCAACTGGACCCATCATTACACTAATCGGTTCATGTCTGTTCTGCTCAGGTGTGTCTCCAAGGCCAAGTGTCCCTCAGTCTGTGGGCGTGGTTGTGGACAGATCCTCAGCGAGCAGATTCAGCTGTTGTGGTTTTATCGCGACACTGTGTACAAGTGTTTGTGTAATCGTGAGTGGCCTGTTTAAAAAAGGTTTGCGCCTCTCCAGGAGGAGTTTTCAAGTTTCAGGTTTTTTTTGGGTTTTTTTTTTTGGCTCAGCCAAGCCACAGTCAGCAGTCCATGACAAAATCAATTGTGCGAAACTGAAAATGAAGACACATTTATCGGACGCTGAGTCCATGAGCCCATAGAGAGGGGGCTACAGCCTAACGACTCTCCATTGGGAGGGGAGGGAGTTTAATCTGCATGTGAATTTAGCTGCGCATTGTTTTAACTGTTCATTTACTAATTCATCCATCCATCCATTCATTCACGTTTTCCTTTCTGGCTCGTCCCTATACGCCCGGGACAGGGCACACATCTATCACAGGCACGCATGACCACAAATGAGACAAACAACTATTCACACTCTCACTCACACATCGGAACAATCTGGAGTTTCTAATTAATCTAACATGCATGTCTCTGTGGAAGGAAAGAATAAAAACTCCACCCAGAAAGTCTGGAGGAATTCATTCATTAAATAATTCATTCATTAAAAAACAAAAAGAGAAAATAGATGGCTGGAGAACCTTCTCCTCTCGGAACATTTGTGTTTCTTTCATAAATGAGTCAAATTTTGTCAGGATTGTTTTTGGTTTGAATTTTCAGAAGTGAACAAAAATAAACACCAAATAATACATTATTCAGCATGTTTTCCTTTTGTTATTAGTATTAGTGCTCACCACTGAACATATAGCGACATTGCTCGTGTCTGTGTGATGTGTTGCTTTGCCTGTTAGCAAAATATTTCATGAACCACAAGATGGATTTTAGTGAAACGTTCAGAAAATAATCACTGGATGTGCATCTACAGCCGATTGTTTTTCACAGTCAACTCACCTCAAGGTGGCTTCCACACCTTAAAACCAAACAGAGCTATACCTCCGTTCATTTTACTGATATTAAACCATAACTCTGTTCGATTGGTGAAGTCATGCCCAACACTTATTCTGAGTGATGCAAAATGTTTAAAATGTTGAACTAAACTCTGAGTCAATCATGTCTGTTAGCAAAATAATTCACAAAGCCCTTAACAGGCTTTAATGAAATCTAACCGATTAACGTTTGGAGCAAACTTGAGCCTAGATAGTTGTTTTTTATCATAAGATTTTAAAGTTCTGGCGGGGTGATTTGCTCAAGGAAAACTAGGCCTTTAATTTATACCTGTCAAAAGTGATGTTTTTTCTCCCCTGCAGAGCTCCTTCCATTTTTGTGCAATAATTTAGTTATTATAACTTTAATGAGTGGATTTTTATAGTATTTTTAAAAGCCGTTAACCCATTGCTGAATCACAGTAAAGAAAAGCTTTACATCTTGCAGGTCAGTATTTAAATTTAAGTAGAAGACTTTGTGTCTGTGGTCAAAATAATCTTAGTGTAAATTTAGATCTCACATAATGAACAATGTTTTATTTATTTATTTATTTATTTATTTCTTCTTTAGATTATTCTTTTTATGTACAGTGCCCTGTGACAACGTATGTTGTGACTTGGTGCTATATAAAAAAAAAAAATTGAACTTGAACTTTTTTTTTAACTTCCAAACTGACCCACTTCTGAACTCGTGAATAGACGCTGTGTCCTGCAGGTGCCATCTGGATTTTTCCTTTACGTTAAATTGTTACAACTCTTGCAAATAATAAAAAATGCAAATTAGTAGCAGAGCTCCCTGTAATTTTAATCACCAGCTTTTATTAAAAGGTAAAAAAAAAAAAAAAGACAGATAGGTGTGTAAAGATGGAGGTCGGCCATTTTGAAGTGAATGCTCAGCTTCTGTTGAAGAATCCCTGAGTGATGTTCAGAAACTGTTTTCAGTGAAGCTGTTCCCCACGTGCTCCTTTGCACGTCTGCTTGCAGGACGAGGAGCTTGTTTTTCACGGTGAAGCAGGTTCTTTGTGCCTCTGCGAGGCTCCTCTGCAGCCTGGCAGAAAATGGCTGACTGTTCAGCTGAAGGCAGGGAGCTGCAGCAGAGGAGCAGCAGCTGAATCTGCTCAATGTTTCAAATGAACTCCTTTTTTCTTTGTTGTGAGATAATGTGTGCTTTAAATCACTGTTGTTGTGTGCTGAATGAACTAAATAATAAATACAAAACTCCCTTTAAATAAATGTACATAGCACAAAAACAGATTTACACTCACACACATTATAACCTGTGATTGTTATAAATCTCTGCTTATGTTATAAACCATAAAACAGCTTTCATGATGGCTTAAGACTAAATTTTGAAAACTGAGCTCCCTTTTTTTCATAATACTACACAGTTAGTTCAAACACACACAATCAGCAGAACATCCCAGGTCTTTCAAAATCAAAATTCTTTAATTAAAAAATATATATTCATTTAAGGTTAATTATCAAGCTTGCAATAAAATTTGTTAATTTGTTTAAGAGGGGTTCCTGAACCCCTCTTAAACAAATTAACTCCTTCTCTATTATATATAGTTGCAACACATTGTTCACTAAATTCTTTGAAGCATTTATATTCTGAACCGAAAACACTTTTACAACTTTTAATTTTCTATTGTCTTGGAAAAGTTAAAAACAAACTTCACTAAGCAGAGCTACATGAAACAAATGCAGACTGATGATGGAAAGACTGGATTTATTTATTACTATTTATAGTTAAATAAGGATGTCTGAACAAAACTTCCAGTTTTCTCACTACCGTAGGTTTTTGTTTGTACTGTTATAAATATTTGTCATGGTGAACACAATGACAGAAGCGGGAAAACGTAAAAAAGTAAAATAAAATAAAATAAACTATATATATAATACATTAAAAATCAAATCTACACATCATCTCTCCACCCAGCTGCATGTGTTTAACAGTTGCTCCACAGATGTGGCCATTTGTAAAGTCGACATCTTTAATGGGTTGTGAAAACAAAGTGTGAAGCTCATATTTTCCATTATAAGTTGCTGGTGAAAATTCACCACCCAAGTCATGATCAATCAAAAAAGAAAGAAAAAAAAGGTAAAAGATCAAAACAAAACAATTGGACTTATATTCAGAATAAAAGCCCAATTTTTTTAATTTAATTTTTGCTGTTTTTCTGGATTTTTCATGAAGTTGTGCAAATCTGGGCTGGGGTCAGATTCAACTGCTAAAAAACTATCATGATAGTGTGTAAACAATGATAAAAGACCATAAAGCCAGACTTCTGTGAAGAAATGTTAAGAACATTTTATCAAATAAAACCTGAATTCATAATAACTTGGGAGAAATTTGGTTTTGTATCAGAACATCTCACATGAGAACAAAATGATGAGAAACAAATGAGAAATTAGATGAAGAAGGAATAAATTATAAAAAAAACTATGTACACATATTCACAAATATACTGTATATGTTTTAGGTGATTTTAATGGATTTATTTCTTTTATTACAGACGTGATGCAGTCACTGCAGCAAATCAGCTGGAGTGATCTGTGTGTGTTTGTAAGTGATGCACTTTTGAATTACATTGCTTTGTGTATGTTTGTGTGTTTATTTATTGTTGCTGTTGTGTTTGAATGTTAAAGGAATAAGAGGGTCTTTGCTGTCAGTTTAAACAAGTAGGACGTTCTCGGTGATGTGGTGACCTCGACTGTGTTCATGTTTAAAATGAGTTTTAAATTAACAGCTTTTGGTTTTAGTTTCCATCTATACATCAAACCCAGGGTGTGTGTGTGTGTGTGTGTGTGTGTGTGTGTGTGTGTGTGTGTGTG